TAAATGCCAGGCACCAACCTGCTGTCTTGAATACCTCTCCCAGCAAATGAGACAGAGTGTGCAGAAAGCCTGTGTTCTGCTGGGAAGCAGTAGCAAACCGAGTGTGGAGAGTTGGGAAGGGAGGGAAAAGAAGAGGGTGGAGCTGGGCACCGAGCGAGTTTGGGGGTCCAACCATCAAGACAGGCTCCAGATTTCATCTTGAACACAAGGGAGGAGATGCTGAAGATTTCTGAGCAAGAAAAATGACACTGACCTATCCTGAATTTGAGAGAAGTGATTCATGTGGTGACAATGCTCAGAATCCCAGAAGAGGGTTCCAGCAGAGGAGGCACAACCTGAGAAGTTACCTTATCAGTCCAAAACGCTTTCAAAGAACCAGCATGAAAAAAAACAGTAGCTACGACGTACTAGCTTCCAGTGACAGTAGGCTTACTTGGTCATCAGAGGTCAGAGAAGTCTCAGATCATACAGATGATAAGTAACCTCGCCAGGTTTGAACCTCAGTCTTCCAGATTCCATGTACTTCTTTCATAGAATTTTGTTCACGCCTCCATCTCCAGCACTCCCAGGCAGTAAAGGTCTCGACTGTGATGGTGATGGGAATAGGAAGGAAGCAGCAACTCAGAGAGATACCAGATATCCTGAGTCGGCGTTCAGGTTCTTTATGCATCACAAGCTCAGGTCTGCATACTCCTCAGGCAGTATGTCCTTACTTGTCCAGATGTCACTTACTACTGGACAGTGAACTTTTTGGTTGTACTTTGAGCCCAAGATACCCAGCGCTGAGCAGGATCCTGCTATCATGGGCCTTCCTGCCCCTCTGGCTAACTGGGGCCTGAGTTTTGGGTTTAGTTCGTTTATCTACTATGGCAGCATAAGACAAGTTTAGAAGACAAAAATAACCTTGGAATTATCTCGTGAATTCATGGCAATTACCATGCAATTACATGCTCAGTAACCACAATGGAATTCCAGAGTATTTACAGTTCACTTCCATGTGCAAACGCTCAGACTTCTGGGTCTTCACTGAAAAGGCAGCAGAATGGCACAGCCTGGCACGGCAAGGCATACAGAGCTGGTGGCCATGACGCTTCGGACAGCCTGCTTGGCTGGCTCAGGGAGTTTCTCTTTGGGGTTTTTGTCACCTCTTCAGCAATTCCTGCTTAGCCCACCAGGGCTACACTGTCCTCTAGGGGGCAAATGGAGAGACTGTCCCGAGTTGGCATTCTTCGGGGATGGGGTGACTGTCTCCATGCTTCTGTAAAGCACCTGCTTCAATTTTAAAGCATACATACTGACAGGCAGCTCCTTGAGGTACTTTGCAAGAGTCTTTGAACCAGAGGGAAATGCTTTCCACCTAACCTTTTGTGTTTCTTCATTCTTTCTCTCGTTCATTAAACACTAAAGGCCTTTTCTGTGTAAGCACTGGGTTCAACCCAGAGATTCAGTAACTATGCAGTGCCTGCCTCCAGAATATTCTGTTACCCAAGAGAACAGCCAGGGCAACAACTCACCATTATCAGGACGCTAACAATATACAGCTATTAGATATGGAGGGGAGTGTGAGATTTTCTTTTGTTTAAAAAGAGAAAATAGGAGTGGCAGTAGACACACAAAGGTTGATTGATGGGTATTAAGTTACAGTTAGAGAGGAGCATGGGGTGCTACTTCATAGTAGGGTGATTAAACATAACAGCTATGTACTGTGCACTTAAAAAAAGCTAGAAGAAAGGATTATGACAGTTTTTACCACAAAATGATAAATGTTTGAGGAGATAATATGCTTAACCTGATTTAAACACTATGTGATATATACATATATTGAACATTACATGGTACCTGCTACTATGCACAACTTTTATGGTTTGTGTATGTTATGGTGTGTGTGTAGCTGTCCCCTCAAAGCCTCATGCAAATCATGGGGTGGGGACTTCTAGAGTTTGAGACTAACTCATAATCCACTGGGATTATGGGCCTTAGTACTGCTGGGATTATGGGTGTACCTTTCCCAGCCTGGGGCGATAGCTTGAATGTGATAGAAGACAGACTGACAGACTTTTTCTCTGTTGCCATTGTTGCTGTCACTTCTCCATTTTGCTCTTGCTCTTTGTTGCCGCCATGAATGGATGCTCTCTGCCCTGTGCTGCTCTGCCTGGGAGCCAGCCAAGTATGGACTGAAACCTCCAGTTAACTGCGAGCTAAATAAACATTCCTTCTTTCATTGTGGGTGTCAGGTATTTGTCCCAGCAATGAGAGAATAACTGAGAGAGTATATTAGATAAAAATAAAAATAGCTAAGCATGGTGGTGCACACCTGTCATCCTAGCACTTGGGAGGCGGAGGCAGGAAGATCACCATGAGTTTGAGACCAACCTGGGCTACATAGTGAGCGCAAGGCCAGCCTGAACTGCACAGGAAGATCCTGTTTCAAAAAATAAAAAAAATAGAAACAAATAGCTACAGATGGAAAAATGCTGATGGAGTACTGATTCAGATGCATTAGCCGACAGGAGCCTCACATTGCTATAGAGACCCTGCTTCTGTGTGGGGAGAGCAGCCTTGGCAATGGTACTGGTGATGGGACCCTCAGAGCGCTGATATAAAGGTAGAAAAAGACAGAGCATGTAGGGGAAGCAGTGCCACCAAATGTGACCATGATATGTGTGGGATACACGGTGTGTGGGGGGGGTATTCTTTGCTGGGCGCTCAGTCAACCCTAGTTCTCTGCATTATCGATGATGATGATGACGATGACGATGACGATGACAATGATGATGATGCCTACAGGTGACTGCAGATGAGTATCAGGGTCTTAGGATCCCCCACAACCAGCACCATCTCTGTGGTGGATTAGCAATAGGCCACCTGGTAATACCCAGCTGAACCAAAGCAGCGTGGCGCTGGATGTGGAAGGCCAACTTGAAGACTGTGGCCAACAGCATAGAAGGAGAACTGCAGGGGAAGATAGGGAGCTGCTGATCCTCCTGGAGAAGCTTGCTGCACTGGCTTTCCCGATATAAACGCAGCAGTTCTCATCGCTGGAGGAGCTCGGGATCTCACTGTCACTGAGGATGACTACGGTACTTTCTGGAGAGCTCTGGTCCTTACCTTGAGCACTGCTTCCTGGCTCCAGTGCAGAATCCTCAGCCTGCTGGCACACTTTCTAGCTTCCACTACTGGCCGGTGGGCCTGCCAGCACAGATCCTTGCTTGGTACAGACGTGTTGTGGGCTCGAAGCCTTCAGTGGGACTCATGTAGGACATGGCCATGAGCTCCTGGCCCTCGGCTGGATTCTTTGGGTCTCTGGTGTGTGGCCAGGTCTCTTTGACTCTTCTGCATTTGACTCTTTGGGTAAATATTATAATCTTATAAATTATGGGTCCTGTATTAAATCTATTCCTCTGTAAACCCTGACCACAACAATCTCATTTGCCTTCTTCTACTTCAAGTAAATGTGCTCGTCCAGAAACATGGTTTTCTAGCAACTGAGAGGCCCCAAAACCTGGGCCAGGAACCTTTATTTTCTATGTCCTTAAGGTAATCTTGGCCCTGTATGCAGTCCTTCAAATTTCCAGTTATCACTGGGGAAAAGCTGACCGATAAAAGCAAATGCCACATCTCACAAATGGCGTGCTACAAAACCGCCACAATCCAATACTTGACTCTGTACACATTAAATATTAAATGTTCTTAGAAAGGAAGGAAGTAAAATTCTTTGGGCCTTACTAGTCTCTTTGGGATAGCTTGAATTAATAGCATTTAAAGAACAGCAGTTTCCTAAAGAAAACTGTATCAAAATTGTAATATGGGCCACATCAAGGACATAGGCAGGTTTTGAGATGTGCTTCCAAAAAGTATAGTAGGGGAAAAGGGAGCAGTCTCTTTTATAGCAGAGAAACCTGTATAATTTTTGCTGAAGTGTCAAAAGCGATCCCAAACAGGTGGTAAAAGTTAACGTCATCAAGTCATGCATATTAGTATGACAGGATGTGTATCAGTCAGCTTTCTGTTTCTGTAACAAAATTCCTTGGATAATTAACTTAGGAGAAAAAAAAAAAAAGCAGTTTATGTAGTTGACAGTATTGGAGGCTCCAGAGCCGACTGAGTGGCCCTACTGCTGTGAGCCTCTGGTGGGGTGCCGGGTTGAAATAAAAGGGAGCATGAGATGGCTCAAAACTACTTACATCATGAGCCAGCAAGCGAAGCGGGGAAGAGATCAAATCCTCCAGCTCCCTTTTGCTGACCCCTCCCGATAACCTGAGGGCCTCCCCTGAGGCGCCCCCTGCTACTCTCCACTGCCTCCCGGCAGCACCACCTGGGGACCAAGCCTTTTAACACAGTCACATCTGGGGTCTCCAGTGCCCAAACTATAGCAGCATGGATCCTTGCAAGGAAGCTATAAAAAGTGCAGTTTACCTACATGTTCTTCCTCTCAAAAACATACCTCTCCAGTCAAATCATGAGAAAAACATAAGACCAATCCAAATCAAGGGACATTTCACAAAATACTTGGCCAGTATGCCTGAGAAGTTTCAAGTTTATCAAAAACAGGGAAGTCTGAGAAACTTCCACGGCCCAGAAGAACCTAGGGAAATGACAAAATATAATATGGTATTTTAAATGGAATATTGAAACATAAAGATGGGATTAGTGAAAAACCACTAAAATCCAAGTAACATATGAGCTTAATAGTAATGTGGTAGTTTGTTTTCTTAGTTATGATACATGTTCCATGGCAATGCTATGTGTTAGTAATAGGGCAACAAGGTGCTGGGGGTACAGGAACTTTGTATTATCTCTGCACCTGTTCTTTTTTTTTTTTTTTTTTTTGCGGTACCAGGGATTGAACTCAGGACCTTGTGCTCACCAGGCAAGGATTTATTCTACTGAGCTATCTCCCCAGCCTCTGCACCTGTTCTGTTAATCTGCAATTATTCTAAACTTAGAGGCTATTTAAATATTTTTTTGAGTAGTCTAACTCTCAGTGGGGGCCTTTTCAGTCACAGGAGACCAGCCGCTATGCAGTGATGACCACCCAGATGAAGCATACCAATCTCTCGCTGATTTTCCACCATGTTTTCCTCCAAATGTGTAAGGCACATGGCATTGGCTATGACCTTGAGGTAAGAGGGGTTGCAGTTCACCAAGGCTGGACCAAGCAAGCCTGTGGGTGACCTAGGTGGCTCATTATTTACTCCCCTTGCAATCAGATATTCTTTAAAAGACGAGAATTCTCAAATGAAGACTGGGCGCTTCTTGAAAAGGGCAGAAAGTCATTTCCACAGGGAGCAGCCCCTGGTCTTTAGAAGTCAGTTCAAACCTCAAACTTGCACAACCAGCTTGTAGAGAAAACCCCTGCTACTCTCCAGACTTAGTGGGTATTGTAAAGACCAGCTCTTGACCCTGAGGCATAGCCTGAGTCCACCCAAAGCTGTTTATCAATGAACATTCTGTGATAGCCTGCATAGACTTCTGGAGTACCAAATGCATGGCTTAAACAACAGAAGGCTATTTTCTTAAAGCTCTGGAAGCTGGAAGTCCAAGACACTGGCAAATTTGGTTCCTAGTAAGAACCTACTTCCTGGCTTCTGGATAGCAGCCTTCCTGTAGATGTGCACATGTGCGCGCGCATGTACACACACACACACACACACACACACACACACACATATACTGGGTGGAAGTGGAGGAGGGTTTGTGTTTTTTTTGAGAGAGGGTCTCACCATATAGGCCAGGCTGGCCTTGAATTCACAGCAATCCTCTTGCCTCAGGCTCCCAAGTGCTCAGACTACAGGCATGCACCACTACACTGGCCTCTTATGCCTCTTTTAAAAGTACATCAGGTATAGAGAGTGAAGTTTCTACATTTATGACCTCATTTAATCTTAATCATCTCCTTAAAGGCCCTGTCTTGAAGAAAAATTTGTACGAACAGTGTTTGTGGACAGGTTATCATGCCTGCATCTTACACTATAAATACCCACTACAAAGACAACAATATGCAATGTATTAATTATTGAAGCTGTCCTATTAATTGGTCTTAAAACTGTCTCATTGCTACTTATTTCTCAATAAAATTTATTAAAAAATGAAGACCACAAAAAATTAAAAATAAATAAATAAAAAGAGTAGGTAGTAAATTTTATGTTATTGCTAACATTGTATTTATCAATTTAACATGTTTCACTCTTTCTTTCACTGATGAACTTTATTTTTAATTTTTCCCCAGTAGAAAACTAAAAAAAAAAAGTAAATAAAAAAAATAAAGGCCCTATCTCCTGCACAGTCATGTAGAAGTTTCAGGGCAACATGAGCCAGTCCATAGCACTGTATATAATAATTGCTTTTAGGAAGGATTTCTGGTTTAAAATACAGTGTAACTTTTTTAAACCATACCTGCACAGTTGCTTCATATTGCTATATCTGGATGGGTACAACTGTGATGACTGTCTTTGTCCCTAAACTGTGATGACTGTCTTTGTTCCCCGTTTTGTGCCTACAGACTCCTGTTCCTCTGGAGAAACTCTTTACCTGTTTTTTTACTCTGACACAGATTTTGAAATCTCTCACACTCAGAGCTGTTCTTCTTGTGGAAGATCAAATCCCACATCATATCAAACATATTAAATTCACCTCCCATATTAAATACAGTATAATGTATATATAATGATATAATAATTGGGCAGTAGTCAGATGATTAAATGGTTGATTTGTAGAGATTCAACCCAATGTCTTTTAGATTTTTCTATTGGAAAACAAATACAATTTTCAGGAGTGAAATATTTTTATAGGCCCTTGTACAGCATACAGACCTTAAATATGGGACCAACTGTGAACAGAATGGCCTATCTGACGCTTGGCAATCCCCAACAAGCTGCCAGGGCACTGTCAGGGTGCAATAAGGCCCTCTGGTTGGATTGATTCATGCTGGTTGCAAACACATATAATGGAACTCATATTGCCTTGCAAATTACATTAAATTTGATAAAATACAGAAAGAAAGAAAAAGCCAGATTGAACTGATTTACCTGAAATTAATTGTTGCATCTGCTGCACACAATCCCTTTGGAATTAGTTCATAGCCCCAAACTGATTAGAGTGAAACACTCTCACATGCCACAAGGTGGCTAAATCTAACTGTAGCTTTATCGGTGTCTATTTCATTTCATCCTAAAATATCAAAGCAGAACAAATGCTTCAAATAGGCATATATGTCAGGGAAAATCTCCTGTCCCCCCAAAAAATATGCTGTCATTTTCCATTATCTGAAATTTTTTCTAGAGATGTTTTCTTGAGCTAAAGGCCTTATACTTGTACTCTTGGGAAAAGTAAAGTATTCAACTCAGTCATTTACATTTTCTCTTGAGTTGATCCCATCCATTTCTAGTAAAAGATTTTAGTAGGAAAAACATTGTAATAGCCCAAGGGGAGCAGCTTGGTGGTGCCGAGGGAGGGCTCCAAGTTACGGTCAGGGATCTCAACAAGAAGAGCTACAGAACTGACAAAGGGACACGAAAGGCTTAGCCAGGAGCATCTATGTACTTACCTGCAGGTCCCCTGTGTTAAACCATTTATAGAAAGTGAAAGACGAAACAGAGGGGGAGAGAGAAATATGGATATAGATTGATGGCATCAGAAAAGCAGAATAAGAGAAGCAGAGAAAGGAGAGAATAAAATTCAGAAACTAAAAGAATCCATTAAAAGCACAAAGGATCACTGGAAAACAAAAGAGCAAAGGAGAGCAGTGGGGGTGAGGAATCTTAAGAATCTGAGGTAAAAGGGAGTCATTTGACAGGAAGGAAATTTTAGAAATTCTCTGGCAGTGTCCTTGGTATATTTTACTGCAATGGGTTCTCAGGTTCTTTGAGCCCAAGACCCATCCCTGGTGGCACCATCCACTTCCTCTCTTCACAGATTTTTCTTAAGGGGTAAGGCAGGTGAGAAAGCTGCATTTACAGAGCACCTACTGTGTGCTGGCTCCTGAGCTGAGCACTTCACTTCTCTGTCTTGTTTATTCTTCATGCTTATGTGTCAGAGGGCATTATTTCTACCATATTACAGTGAGGATTTTCCCAAGGTTACATAGCCAGGCTTATTCTGGAACTGATATTTGAACTCTGAGTTTCCCACAAAGTCAAACATGTTTTTTTCTCTCACACCAATGCATCCACTAGGTGCCCTTTCCTCCTAAGGACTACTTCCGAAATATGATTACCGACCCAAGAACCTCAGTGCCTCTTACATGTTCTTGAGCTGGAGAAGCACTGACTTCTCCTCACAGCCCTGTGACTATCTCAACCAACAAAGCCATACGTGTTTAATAGCCAGCTTCCCTAAAACATCATGGTCCTTTAGGGCTGTTCTGAGGCTAACGAGAAAATCACTCCCCTAAGTTCCAGTGTGCCCTCTGCTACCTGTTCTCTTAGTTCAATTTAACATGGATGATTTTTCCAGAAACAGAAGGCCACGTTAGCAGTATTATCACTGTTGATGCTACCAGAAGAAGAATCATCTGGTGTCTTTATTCTTTAACATTATTTTTTCTTCCATTATTATCACAAAATTTCAAGTGATATTTCTTGTCCGAAGTGTTGGGGAAAGGAAAATCAGAACACCGTTTGGGTTTATTTTCTTGACGAATATCGGGGGGGAAAAAGTGTTACTGAGTTTGTAAGCAACTCGGTGGGTCTCATCCTGGTATTTCTGTAATACTACAGAACACCCCCACTGGTTTCCTAATGAAACGAAGTTGTAATGAAAGCCATATGGAGAAAGGCGTAGTGTTTACTGCCTGCAACAGTGCGGGGCAAAGCTGGGCTCACACACAGACAGGCAGTGTGCCACTACCCCAGATAGCGTCACACCTGCCAGCAATCATTTCCTTGGGCCAGGGCGTTGCCATGGAGGGAAGCATCAGGGCTGCTCATAAATATTCTGGTTCACCTCCTTCCAGGCACAGAACAGAATTACACTTCCTCAGCTCTCCCTCTAGACTTAGGCACGGCTGTATAACTTGTTCTGGCCAGTGAAATACGAGCAGAGGTGAGCTCTCTCCTTTCTACAAAGATTGACCTTTAAGGACTGCCGTATCTTTTCCCTTGTCCCAGAAAATCAGGGGCACCACTGAGACTGAGTCCCTGTGTTGGATCAGACCTTCATCCTGGTCCCTGGGGATATCAACAGCAATCACAGGCCCATGTCAATCCACTGGGGGGAGGGTGGCCAAGAGCAACAGAAAGAGCTGCAGTATTATAAACAACCAAGAACTGGCATTTTTAAAAATTAGAAATGATGGGCTGGTGAGATGGCTCAGTGG